TTTTACTTACTTATTTACTTTTTACTTTATGTGTATGCGTGTATTGCCTGCGTGTATGTGAGTGCACCTGTGTCATGCAATGCCTGAAGAGGTTGCGTGTATTGCCTGCATGTATGTGAGTGCACCTGTGTCATGCAATGCCTGAAGAGGTCAGAAGATGGCATCAGATCCTCTAGAACTGGAGTAATGAATGGTTATTATCCTCCATGTCAGTGCTGGGTATCAAACTCAGGTCCTCTGAAAGAGCAGTCAGTGCTCTTAACCACTGAACCATCTCTCCAGCCCCAACATTTCTCTTTTAATTCCAGCTTGTAATATTTTATTCTGCATACACTTCATTAATGCATGCTTCTTTTCTCTATTCTTTTCTGATTTCTTAAATGATTTCATTAACTACAAATGTTGTCTTGATGATTCAGGCAGGCAATCAGGGCCACCATAAAGAACACAGAGAGGGGCGCCCTGCTCACCACCCATTACATGGCAGAGGCAGAAGCCGTGTGTGACCGCGTGGCCATTATGGTGTCCGGAAGACTGAGGTGGGTGCACTTCCTGAGACTACACTTGCCTGCTTGGTATAACACTAGATGGTTTTGCCTATGGACAAGAAAAGGTAAGGTGACGGTCCGAATTGCTACACCTGAGTTAACAGGGATTCTGAGGCAGCCCTGGCAGCAAACCGAGGGTCTCAAACAGTGTCCTGTGTCTCCCCCCAATTCCTGTTACAATCACATCCTACTCCAACCTCCAGGTGTATTGGTTCCATCCAGCACCTCAAAAGCAAATTTGGCAAAGACTACCTGCTGGAGATGAAGGTGAAGACCCCCACTCAGGTGGAGCCCCTCCACACAGAGATCCTGAGGCTCTTCCCCCAGGCTGCCCGGCAGGAAAGGTAAAATTGGTTCTTGCTTTGATCTGGTTCCTAATGTTGCCTTTTCCATGTCCCTCAAACTGATTTTAGTCATTTGAGAAGGAAACTTGAAAGACGCTACTTACTTGTTGGATACTACGGGAAGGTAAACTAGAGAAGAGAAAGCTGATGCATAAAAGCAAATGTAGCATGCATTGTGGTCCTACTGTGTGGTCCTACATTGTGGTCCTACTGTCCATGGCTTGTATCATCTTGTTTAATCCTCACAGAGTTGTTTCAAAGTCAATATTGTCTTTGTAAACTACAATGAGATGATTTCGGGGCTGAGGAGATGGCATCAGGGTTAAGTGTTTGCAATGCAAGCGTGAGTTCAGATCTCCAGTACCCATATAACAGTCTAATGTGGCAACACATTCTCGTAACCCC